ACTATTTTTTTCGTTACAAAAATTATATCACTACTGTGATGTATTACACAAATTGGAGTATAATATGAATATAAGTTTTGCAGCTTTTTGACATTGTATAGAGCAGTTGTGTGTAAATCGTAAATGATATATCCTTTTAGCTTGTTTATATAGGCGTGGCAGTCTGTCCAAATGGAAACATGATAATGGACACTTAATGCTCTTTCCATACTGAGAAGATCCTTGTCTGATCGTAGCCGTTATAAATGATACTGCCTTAATGGAAAAGTAACGCTTCAAAACTTAGGAATCTTGCATGCTGCTTTACTTCAGAACTTAGGAAGTCAGAAACATAAGGTTCTATTAGCGTGTTGGACTTCCGTTCAGAATCAGGATATCTTTCTCTTTAGCGCAGATTCTGATCATCATGCGTCAGAACATTCTGATTACTCAGCTTGAGAGCTTTTATGGCTCAACTTCTGATGTCGTTTAAGTCAGAACTTTTGTACAACATAGAACACAAATTTAGAGTGCATATTTGTTTTCTGTGTTTGTTATCATCAAAACTCTTATGAGGGTTGTAGAATCAAACTATGTTCTAACAATCTTCTCCTTTTTGATGATGACAAAAACTAGGATTTTTTAATAAAAATACAGAACAAAAAGCTTAAGAGAGTCTCCCCCTGAGTTGAGTACTCAGATAGAGATGAGATACTTCCCTGAAGTTCCTTCTTATCAGAGCTTTTGATGCATCTCCTTCTGTCTATATCAGAATTTGTTCCTGTTTAAGCTTTCAGAAAACAAATAAGAAGTTAAGATATTCAGAATGTTTGAGACTTAGTCCTGGTAAATTTTAATTGAAAATATCTTACGTTCTCCCCCTTTTTTTCAGGTATCAAAAAGCAATATAATCATAAATTATCAGAGTAAAAAAATGATGATTTGTATTGAAAACAGATTGCAATGACATCTTTCAGAAACAAAGAAGATAAGATGAAAAATACAGAAAACACGTTAAAAAAATTTAAGATGAAGGGGGGAGTCGTGTGAACAACGCTTCCAGCAAGCTCTTAATCGGGTGCTTGATTCTTCTTGCTTTCCCAGTATATCCTTGATTTCTTTGGTAGTGTCTTCTTGCTTATCCAATATATCCCTGATTTCTTTGTTTATGTCTTCTTGCTTATCCAATCTTGCATGGACTAAAGCATTCTCCTTCTTCAACTCTTCCAGAGTTTGCATGACCAGAGACATAGCTGGTATTTCCTCAGAGGTTGCAAGTCATTCAAAACACTCTGCAGCATCTTCTTATTCAACTACTTCTTCTGTTGCAATTTCCTTTTCTGGAGCAGAAGTCAGAGGGTAACTATCAGAACTTGGTTCAGTGGCTTCTAAAGGTTGGTTCTCTTTCCAGGGAGCATTTTCCAGCAGAAAAATTTCTTCCCAGTGAATCAGAACTTGGTCTTTGCAGGCTTTCAGCTGATCACTAAAGTTCTGCTGAGCCATTTCATAACTCAATTCTTTCAGCCTCTGGGATTCAGAGTTGAACCATTTTTTGAATCTATCCCAAAGAGAATCAAAAGCAGCAGGAGTAGAATTCTCTTGACTTGCTTGCTTCAAATAAGTAACCCATTCCTATATTTCTGTTTCAAAAATCAACAAGTTCTTACCAACATTTGTTTTGGTTAAGGTTGGTTTGGGTTTGGGAATGGCAATTTTATTGGTGGTTGAAGCTAGATGGTCCAGCGCTTCTAGATCAATGACAGTTCTGAGATGATCAGCTGGACGCTTAATTGGTGAGGGAGTAGGAGAATCAGAAATTAGGATTGGTGAGTGAGAAGTGTTTAGTGGTGTGGAGTCATATGGTGAAGGTATTTCTGGAATATCAAGAATAGAGAGAGGTTGACGAACCATAAGAGGTTCTGTTATTCCAGGAATTGGTGTAGTGGTATCAGAGTCTGTAAAAGAGTCTTCTGATGGGTTTGCAGTAGTGTGTTGATTTTCTTATTCAGGGGTTTCAGAATTTGGATTTTCAGTTTGGGGAGTGTGAGGGTTTTCATTTTCTAGTTGAGGAGAGTTGGGATTTGGATGTTCTGGTTGTGGAGAATGAAGGTGTGGATTTTCTGGTTGTTGGGAGTGGAGGTTTGGATTTTTTTATATTGGTGATTGAAAGTCTTGGTAAAAAAGTTTAATATCAGACAGAACTCTTGCAAGTTCTGGTTGATTTTATTCTGGATTTGGATTAGGGGAGTGAGGTTCATTTAAGAAATTGCCAAGAGTTAAGGAGGAATCAAACTCTATGTCAAAATCCCCAAATGTTTATGGTGAGGTATTTTCTGTTAATTGAGGGGGAATTGTTTCAGATGTTGGAAAAACTATAGATTCTACAACAGAAACAAAAGATGTGTTACCTTTCTTTTTCGCAGCTTTGGGTGTCCTATGAGAGGATCCGTCTCCTGCTGCCTTCCTCTTTCTGGATTTCTTCAGCATAATATCTAGAGTTGGCTTGTGCAGGTCACGAATGTTGAGTTCTGGAATAGTTCCATCTTCCTTGCAAGCTTCAAGGTATCTGACCACAATCTCTAGAGAGGTATCTATCTCAGAAAATAGTGGAAAATCCTTCAGAGGGATTCTCCTATACGTGATGACTTCATGAGAAGCAATTGTTGGTTCCTTCTTAATGCTTTTAATAATCTTCATTTTTTTTTAGATTCTTGGCATTTAGTGGTTTTCCAGCACTTGCCTCCCGAGTGCTGATCTCCTGAGCCTCTGTCAGATATTCTATCAGCCTATTTTCAGTCAAAATGTTAGAAATCAATCTTCCCAGAGGAATCCAATCCCTCTTTGTTCTTTCTTCTTCCCTTGTTTCTTTCATGCTTGTTCTCAGATGATTGAAGAGCAAGTGTGGAAGATTTATTTTTGTCTTCTTTGCAATGAAGTACAATAGAAACTGCTGATCAATGTTAATGTAGTCAGGAGAGCTTGTAGGCTTCCTGTGATTTATGCAACCCAGAATGATCCTGGCCCAGATTTTGTAATAATCTTTCAAGTCTCTTATCTTGCTGGATGGCTGTCCAGAAGTGAAAATGACCCTAGCAATAGATTTTAGGTCATAACACTTATCAACCATGTCAATGCATCTGACTCCGCCGCCATTGTACCCAATAAGTTTCCCAATCAAGTCTTCTGTAATCATTATCTTCTTCCCCATAACATATGATGTAACCTGATGGTTGAATGAAGTAGCATGAATCCAGAATTCCTTAACAAGAATAGGGAATACTGGACCCAACAGACAATCAAAGTATTTGTTCCATCCCTGAGCCGTCACATCTTCATACAAATCAAACCCATTTTCCTTTAAGCTCTCAAAATCAATGATCAACTCACATAGAACTTCAAGATTATCTACCAGAGTGAGCAACGTTCTTATAGGTTCCTCATACTATTCTATTGAGGAAGAACCAGAAGCACTGTGGAGATTTTTAATGCTTGATGAGGATGCCATTGTTCACACGAATTTGTTGAAAAAAACTGAGAAAAGGGTTTTTTTTGTTGCAAAAACTAGAGCGAGAGAGAATAATGGATGTAGTAAGAAGTGAATGAAATAGTGAATTTTAAGTTATAAACACTTTTGAAAACTTAATCAGTAAGAAATAGAAAATAAGTAATGATTATACTGTAATTATGAAACCTGAAATTAGGGGATTGAGTGTAGATACTGAACAGTTACCATTGACAAGTGTCTCAATGCATCCAATCAGAGCCTTAGACCCTTCAGAATTTGAGTGTGTGTTCAGCCTCAGAAGGTAGCTTGTGAGAGGATGACAGACTTTTGATGGTGTGAACTGTACGCCTCTATCTTTGAAATGAAAGGTTCAGATTTTTATAGATAGATTCTGAAGCAACTGTACTTCTAACTTCTGAAGACACGTTGATCAGATGTTCACAAAAAAAATAAAGTTCTGAGGGTTACAGAATATGCAAATAAAACTTCTTATTCTGGACATAATTTCATGATGAGATGTTTTAGAATGAAATTAAATCTATCTTTAGAAAGGGGTTTTGTATAAACATCATCCCATTGATGGTCTGTGTTAATATATTTTAAAGTGAGAATTCCT